CCCACGGACTCACACATCAGTGAGGCAGTGGATCAAAAGCCCCCAATTCAATTCAGTGGAACTTACAAGGGAATCCTATGCCCATTTATGTGGGAGTAAGCCCTGCTGAATACAGACTTCTGAGTATACATGCATACAATTGTGCATTCTGATACCTTATTTGTTGACAAAATGCAAGCTCAGCCATCCCACTGATAGTAGCCAAAATTGGCTTTATTGTGAATAAAACTATTAGAACCTTCTTACTTTGCTCTATCTAACACTGCTTGTGTAACTATGTTTTTAGATTTTTATAGATCATGAAGCTACAACTTGCAATCAGATAGTTGTGTTCTTACATTAACACTAATTTTTTTGACTAACTTTGGAAGTCCAATATATATTTCAAAAAATTCCACATTAATAGGTCCATGAAATAATTTTTGATTGAATAATTCAAGTAACAGTTATAAAATAGGCAATCTTGCAATTAAAATGCATTAAATCAATGGCTGCCAAAATTCATGTGACAATAAATTAGCAGGTCACCATACCAAGTAAATTGAACTCGTGGTTCCCCATACCAAAAATGTTGGGAACTAGTGCCTTAGACTTTCTGTTTTTCTTGGCTTTCACCATACATTGACCATTGTCTTACAGGAACTGTAAGGTTTTTTTCCCTACCTAGAGTGAGTGACTAGTGTCTGGAGGTAAGGAACAGGCAATTTTAATTGAGGAGGTCATACTGAACAATGGTTCAGAGAGATTTTATGATTTTGTGTTCCTGGTATTTTATTTTATGATGGTGGTGGTTTTCAAATAAAGTTGTTGGTTGACGAAGGACAGGGACTTGTTCTAAAATAAAGTAATTAAGTTACAGTATTGGAATATAGTGATCCTTCAGAATACAGAATTCAGAGTTACTTCTTCAGTATACTGGTTGAAGTTTATAGACAGTTCTTTTGAATTGTTTTCCCATTTCATACTCCAGTTTAGCAGCTATTTATTATAACTAGCCTTTGAAAAAAAGCAACCAGCAAGTACTTAGAAATTCATAGCTTACATGTCTTACTTTCCTTTCTCTTACTGTATCAGAAATGGTTTGAGTAGACTCTGCAAGCAATATTTTTTTATCCTGAAAAGTGTATACTATTTTTTCTGTAGATGTTGCAGGAATGTTTACTCTTCATAAGTCATTAAGTCTGAAATATATTGAGATGCGAGCATTAGATGTTTTGAGGTAAACAGCACCTTATGATGATATTTTAGTTCTGTTTTTGATCATTTTGAAATAAATCATTAATTAAAGTTCAGGAAGCAATTAATCGGGGCAGCCAGTTCCTCCAAGTACACAAACCATTCAGATATTTTAAGACTGTTAGAAGATTTTCCCTCTCATCTCACATCCCACTAGTGTTTGATTCTAGTTCCCATATTTGCATAGGTTACTAATAAGTTCATATAACATGGTTGCATATGTGTCTAGGGATGAAGATCTCTCACTTCACAGTCCTGTAACTAGATGCTGTTAAAATGGGAAGTGGCCTGTGTGCTTCTGTTGAAATAAAGCAATGCCTGAAATATTACCAAAAAGTCTTCTAGTAAGAATGGAAAATTAGTCCGGGCTTCTTTGCTTTGGGTCTGAAATGGGGGAGGGATTATGCTTTAAATACTCTAGTGAGGCATCACTAGTCAGAGTTTTAGACAGGGGTCATTTCGAGCAGGAGTGTGGGGGAGCACCACTATGGGAGTCGGTGCAAGCCCCCCCCCCCGGCAGGGGAATGCCTGCTTTTACGAGCCCTCCCCAAATTTGCAAGAATTGGGCAGGGGGGGAATGGCAGCACCAGGCGCCACTCTACAAATCCCTCCATAGAGGAAGAGGGCTAGAGCGGAAGCTGCTGGAGGACTTGGCACTCGTTGGAGGACTCAGAGCTCGCCCTTCCTCCTAACTGCCTGTGCCAGCGCACCAATCCCCCCTCCCTGCCAGTGCACAGCTCAGTGGAAGCCATGGAGTGGGGAGGGGATGCAGCAGCAGGCTTCTCTTTGCCGCCCGCTGCCACTAAGCTGTCCTGGGCTGGCCCCTGGGTGGCAAGTCAGTGCAGCCATCCATCCATGCTTCGAAGTGGTGGATGACCCATCCTTCCTTCCCCTGGCTGCTGCACTTTGGAGGATGTCAGAGCTGGGCGGGGGGGGACGGCAGCAGGCTCTTCTTTGCTGGCCCAGTGCTGCCAGGAAGCAGTACTGTCTGGCTGCTGGCCCTGAGGGCCATGCGGGCGAGCCTCAGTACAGCTGGTGCCACCGCCAGCCATCCAGGCAAGCTAGAGGGTGGGGGTGCCGGCTGCCGAGGTGGTTTCGCTCCCCAGGCCCCGACTCACAATGCAGAGCCCCCCGGCAGGCCATGCGTGCTCCGAAGCAGGGATGTATTTTTTTCGCCATGCTTCAGAGCCTGGGTGTGTTTGTAGGCCCCTCGCCACTGCCCAGGCTGGCCAAAGCACTCCAGTGGCCTTCCCAGCCTGTGGTTCCATCCCTGACTCTCATCCAACGAAGCACACGCTCACCCCCTCAGGAACAGAGCAGGGAGGAGTTTCTGCAGCCTGGGACTGATTTGGTGGATCTTCAGTCGTCTGATCAGTTAGTGTAAGAGACTCATTTCTTATATTTGATCATTGTCCTCTTGTGCTTTCCTCCCACAGTTGGTTAACTTTTTCCTTTCCTTCTTAGGACTGACAAACAATCTTTTACATATTTATTTCCACCACTGAAGGCTGGAACATACATCATTCCCCTCCAAAAAAAATCTCTAGTTTACACAGTGAAGTGTTTTGAATTCATTATGCTGAAGTATTAATAACTTATTATGTGAAATCTTTACAGTAATCGTTTCAGTAATGTTTTATAAAGCAGCAGCATCTGATAATTTTGTGGGTTTGATCCTTTGGAATACTCAGCCATTTGAATGGAAAAACAGATGAGTACACTCTACAGGCATTAAACTGAGTTTATGCTGTGATCTGTGTAAAATAAGTTATTATTTGATTGATTGAACAAAGTTTGAGTCCAGTGGCAGCTTTAAGACCAACAAAGTTTTATTTCAGGTATGAGCACTACTGGGGCACGGAGGACATTCAGAGAAGGGGCTTGATAGTATTCTCTGAAGGTCTCCCATCCAAATACTTGCCAGGGTCGGCCCTGCTTAGCTTCCGTGATCTGACGAGATTGGGCTTGCCTGGGCCATCCAGGTCAGGGCCTGTAATATCTTTTTTGAGGTACAGTGATCAGAACTGCACACAGTATTCCAAATGAGGACACATCATAGATTTATACGGGGGCATTATGATACTGCATGATTTGTTTTAATCCCCTTCCTAATAATCCCCAGCATAGCATTTGCCTGCCGTCGCACACACTGAATCAACATCTTTAATGAGTTATCTACCACAGCTCCAAGACTGAGTGGCTCTAAGTCTACATGACCCATGACGCAGCGTGGCCCAAAGTGCAAGAAGTATGTGCAGGGTGCAGGCTGTCATCCCAAGCACATGGAACTCACTGCCACAAGATGGCATCTAGCTTAAATGATGAGCTAAACAAATTCATGTTAAATAAACTCCTTTGTGTGTCTCTTAGCCGTGATGGTAGGAGAAAGTGCCGTCAAGTTGCAGCCAACTTGTGGTGACCCCTCATGGGGTTTCCAAGGCAAGAGATGTTCAGAAGTG